CGGAGGCTCGATTTTCACGATAGAGCTATAGTTCCTTGGGCAAAGTTTCTTAAAACGACCCGTAGAACACCGCTAGGATAGGTAAAACATCGATTTTTTTTGCTCCCTACAATTTGACCCGCCCTAATATATATATATCTCGCCATCCAGTTCTTTCTTATTTTTGAGTTTTATTATTAACAAAACGAACTACACAATCGCGATAACACAATATGTTCAATTAAATCTTTTTATCAACTTTTTTGTTTTGTATTTTTCTTGCTGATATGATTGAACATTTCCTCGTGATATTTTTTATTTGACAGTGCTAGTCATTATTTATCGTTTTCTCTTATAAATACCCTTTTTTGTTGTTTTTGTAGCTCTTAATGCTGTGAATTTTTTTTTATACGCCAAAAAAGAAGATACATATTGAGAAATGAAAATTAACAGTAACAGCAAAATAACGTTCAAACTCAAATTATAACGCATGATATTAGATCTTAATGTGTTTGAAACTTAGACTAATCGATAATAATTTGTTTGAGTTTCAAAATTTCACTAAAGTAAAATAGTTTGTAGTCCGCTTATTAAAGTTTTAAGCACCGTATGAGTCTAAAAAAGTGAAGTAAACCTTTAAACCAAATATCCACTATAAAACATGAGATTGAGAATAGATAATTTAAAGCCAAAAAGAGTTAAAACTTTCTGATTTTGATTATTATTCAATATAAGTTCGTCTCTCTTCCTATCAAAAGAAGTTTTTCCTACATGCTTCAATTGTGTCCTAAAGTTTGTTACAATCCTGATGTCAAAGCAACAGTCATGCAGAAAACTGTCAATTCAACCGCTAAGTACCCCAGAATGCCTAGTTCTTAGTTTAGATAGGTGTACAGATAAGAAGACCATGTACATGACCTTACGTTTTTATTCACATTCAATGATCCGCATCATTCTTGGTAATCGTCTATTTTTGAATTTCAACTTTCTCTCAGATGAGTAAAAAAAAAGTAATTTAGTATAGAAAAGATATAACTACAATCGAAAACATCAAACATTTAGTAATTCACTTAGTATAAATCTTCTTGTTTCAATGGTTAACCACAATGTTCGCTTTCATCGTATAAAAATGGTTTGGATTTTCTCGATCTCGTTTGGCATAATTTCAGTCGTTATTTGGCTTTAAATGACATTTTACATTAGTCTCACATGTGTAAAATCCTGTTCAATATTATTAACAGCAAACGTAATTTGGTCACACCTCAAGTTTGTAAAACTGTTTAAATATCTTTTGTTTTGGAAAATAAAACTGCGTTAAAACTTGCTTTTTCAATCTATAAAGTTCAATTTTGTGCAGATATTCAACATCTCATGCTCTCCTTTTATTTCTCAAAAATTTTGCAAAAGGACGTGGGCCGATAAGGCCACTTTGCGTCCCCCAACAAAATACAATAAATTATACATTTTCGGAATCAGCGTCGAATTCTGAACAAAACTGTCGCTTCACTTTTTCGAAATTCGAAAAAAACTGTTTTTCGAAAAATTTTAGGGCAAGGGGGCCAGGGGGAAGTCGGAAAATTTTTTTCTTCAAAAAAATTGGGGAAAAAGCTTTTCTGAACCAGAATTTTATCCTGATTACGAATCTGATGTTAAAAATTGTGAAATCGTAAGTTTTCATGGAGAAAAATGCCATCTATTGTACGCCTATAAAATTGGCTTTCAAAGATTAACGTGGGTCTGTAACCTTAGAGAAAAGTTTGTAGGCTTTGAAATACAATTATTTGGATTCACTGATGTGTCTGCCTTTGAAATTAGTGAATGTAGACACGATCCACTTTAATATAACGGACTGGTTCCGTAAAATTTCAAAAAACATAGGAAAAATCACTCGTTCATCAAAAGTCGACTCTCTCAGTTTTTTCCCTGGTAGATGATCCGCTTGCAAACACACTCTCACATACTCAACTTTTCACGCTCTTTCCGCTGGTAGCAAAATAAAATAACTTGCCAACTTTTCATTGGCATCTTTAAATAATTCAATGTATTTACTCGACGGTTGGTTAAGATAGTGTTCCGGCCAGTGAAAGATACCATATTATACTAGCTACATGACTGCAGCAGCCTATTGTACGAGCCCTATTAGGACATTTGCAGCACCAATCAGTCACAGAGTCTTTCGTATACCTTACTAAAATGTCATAATTTTTCCTATTACTATGTTTTGACTGAATATTCACTTTTAAGAGATTTTTAGTATCGGTTGATACTTGAATTGCATATTCACCATCGTCACTGACGTGTTCCACGGCATAGCTTTTTGCCATTTTCACTTGAAAAACACCGTAGGTTAGTTTTTCTAACTCTTCTTTTGAAAACTTAGGAAAATCGACGGCTGCATCCCTGGCTTTTAACGATGTCCATTTTTTAGCTTTCATAAACTCCTTGTCATTCAGCTTTGACAATAGTTTATTCTTCTCATCTCTCTTTTTTTGCATTTCACGAGCTATTTCTTCATGAGCAGAAGTATCTTGAACGAACGGAGGACGAAATGCGTTGATTAAACTACAGACTATCGAAAAATATCCGTGAGCAAATGGAAGACTGGAATTAGATACTACTTTGTTAAAGAATCTCCACTGTTTAATTCTTCCATTGACACACTCTATTACGAAGCGTACTTTAGTTACAAAACGATTTGAATTAGCTTCAGAAGTCGTAAACTGTTTTTGATTTTTCGGTAAGAACAATGGCATATAGACATTGTAGCCAAATGCTTTTATCTGAGGTAGAACATCGCGAAACCCGCGATCGACAACAAATGTATCTTTTTTTTGTAACCAATCAAGAATATTTTCTTAATTTGTGTCTAGTATATGACGAGTTATATTGGCGTCGTTATTGTAACGAGCCTTTCCAGGAATAGCATCAACACATTTAGCTGCTCAAGTTTGGGGCATTACTGACTTTAATAAGTTTTACGAATACATATTTAAATCATCCTCGATCTTGACATTATTTCTGAACAAGTCTAATAATCAGCCAAATAGCTGCCAATAGAACTGATTATGTAGCCATCCGATGCTACAATAATCATCGGTTTGATAAGACTACGACCTTTGTGCAACGAGAAGAGACGTCTTTGCAAGATATTATTACCTGGCTTTTCGGTATAAATATACGTTTCATCGAGAATAATTACCACTCCGTCACCATCGGTTAACAAAGCACTAGCTAGTGGAGTAGTGTGTTTTTTCAAAATTTCTTCTCTGGTTATATGATGAAAGCCTAAGTATTGAGGCACAAAATCGCGTAGCAAGGCATCGTATGCACTATGATTAATTTTGCCAACGACGCGTCTATCGCTATATGCAAAAAGTGTTGCCAACACTTGATTACTTAGTCCGGTTCTCAATTTTGTAAGCAGACAGCCAATTGCCATTCGAATCGATCGATTTTCCGTGTTTCTCATTCGTACGATTTCGGTTAAACTATTAAATTGTTCTTTATCGATACCAGTTAAACAGCCATAGTCTTCATCACTATAGAGAAAGGCGGCATCAAAATTCAAAATAGTACGTGGTTTAAACAAAGACTGTGGTTTTATCTGTTCCAAATGTGATTGAAGTTCTTTGATTAAGAGAGAGATATGTTCGCCGTTTGCAGTATTTTCAGCCGTGGCAGAATGATATTTTTGAAGGATTTTGACAGCTGCTTCATTTAAGTGATCGCCTTCGATATGGCGAAGACAGGAGCGTGAGCCGTCTTTAAAATAAACCGAGTGATAAATAAATGTATTGATTCGAATTTCGTCACTCATTTTTGTAGAAGGTGTTCCGTCATCCAAAGTTTGATGGCATACCAAACAATATTTCTTTGAGAAACCAGGAAATGCAATCGGCAACTTAATTGTGTCTTCAGTTAAAAGAGAGCATTCCGTTGTTTTGGCATCTGAACTGGACGAAGTGGCTTGCAATCCGACGGAAGAAATAGTTACAGTTTCATTTTCTCTCGTTTCAGTGTCCATCTCTATATTTGAATCATCTGTACTTGCACCACTTTTAACGCTTCTGCTGTGTCTCATGTAACAAGCTGTACATAGTGCAGTCTCATCATCAATATTATATCCGTAGAGTTTTAGATACAAATCGTTGACGTAATCGAACATATCCGGCGTGTTTTTCAAGTGACGCTTCTTCTCTTTTCGTAGATCTTTTTCACACAAACCACAACGAGCACTATTGAATGGCATTCTAATTTTTCTGGTATAGCACTCTGAGCTAACAATTATAAAACATATTCGAAGAAGAATGACGTTTTGTGCGGTTTAGCACGTCTAATATAATTTTGTTTCATAAAAAATACAGAATGTAACACACTACTGTGAAGGTTTCTAATGCCTATAACTGTTTGTATAACAGGACTTTATAACGAGTCTTATTTCGCGAGTCCTATAGCGATCACGTAACGCGTTCGTGCCGCGACTTTTTAGCGCGAGTCGTACTGCGACTTTCGCGCGAAAATCGACCTGGGCATATATTACATATTTCTATATACTTGCTGAATGGCATCATCCTCAACGCACGAAGAGAAACGATGAAACTTCGTCGAGATAGCAAAAGATCTGTAAGATACAGTAGTCAATCAAGCGGAAAAGGTTGGAAATGTGATTAAAAATACTGCAAATCCTGCTGAAGAGAAGTGGAAAGAGACTTCTACAGTCACAAAAGCATGTGTTATTGGTGGAGCGACTGGCGCAGTAGCTTCATTCGGCATAGTGCCTGTTTTAGGTGCAGTAGGATTTACATCAGGCGGTGTAACAGCTGGTAGTCTTGCAGCATCTATGCAAACAGCAACGACGATATCTGATGGTGGTTTTGCTTTATGTCAGTCTGCTGCAGCTACTGTAGCTGTGGCTGCATCAACTTCGATGGGCGTGGGTGTTGCAGCTGGTGCTACTGCAGGTAGTGTAATAGCAAGAAAAAGTCTCCTAACGAGAAGAATAGCAATGGAGAACATGCTGGAAGAGAAGAAGAGAAAGATCACGATGAACGGTGTGGTTGTTTTGATGAACAAGTGGAATCCAAAGTTGCTTTGGAATTATCTAAATTTTAGTTTTTCTGTTTATCTATATATGCCGATGTATGTATCAACAATACAATCAAAGAAACCGAAATTATACAAAATAAAATAAATTAGAATTTAAATTAGAATTTAAATTGTGGCATGCTTCCTAATCAATATAAAGACCTACTGAATAAAAGATGTAGTCGTAGATGACCTTAGTAATGCGCAGAGTTTTGATCATGTAAAATCATGCCATTTTTTAATAAGCATGGAAAAGCACATTTATACTTCGTGTGTATACGGTCAAAATCAAACATATCGTTTTCACACACATAATGGCACAAATACAAAGTATGGGAAAAGTGGAGAAAAAGCAGTGATTTCCACGCAAAACCAGTTTTTCACTCATCTCTCGAAAAGTAGACTTTGCACCAAAAAACGGACCGCAGATTTGGAATCTACGTGCAAGAACGGACCAGAATATGTATACTATTTTCTTCTAAACCGGACGAAAAATAATTTGCCTGATTCTTACTAAGAATCAGTTACTTTTAAAACGCGTTTGTGTAAATTGGACCAGGCTAGCGTCTTGACATCTAAAAATCAGGCGATTCTGTTCAGATTTTCCTTCTGTTCAAGCCGCTGATGTAACGACGTTGTCTACTACGAAAAGGAGTTAACAATCTACTTTTTGTGCCCCGCGAGAGCATACAAATGATTTCTGCGTTTCTTAGTAGCAGTCTTGCTTTTTTCTCTCGGATTTAATATAATTGATATTTTATATCTGCTCTATTTTGAACAAGTATACTGAACTGAAGTAACAGCAGTGCTTGATACAAGCTTAGATGGATATTCTTTTTGTCTTTCTGTTCGTTCACACGATAAAATAGAAAAAGAGAAAATGGGAAGAAAAACATATATATTCAGAACGAAAAAAAAAGAGAGAAAGTAATAAAAGGCGTTAGTTCCCACGTAAAACCAGTTTTTCGTCTATTTTTCGAAAACTAGACTAGACACCAAAAAATTGATGCCGGATTCGGAATCTATGTGCAAAAACCGACCAGATTATGTATACGGTTTCCTTCGAAACCGGACGAAAAATAATTTGTCTGATTTGCTATGTAGGTTATTCTATATCCGATTTACTTGTTATGTGCATCATGTTCCGAAGAGTAACCCGGTAAAACATGGTGCACTTAAGTGCCAAATTGGACGCCGACAAAGTCTCCTGAAATGCAAACCTCTGATATTGTTACAGGCTAGAGCCTTACACATACCGTTTGAATAGTTCTAAATCGAGGCCTTCCATTTTTCCTTTTTTCTTTTTTCGTTGTTATATCATATACATCTAGAGATGTTTCAGTACATTTTTTTCCTTTCTTTATATTCAAGAAGTTTTCGTCCATATTTAGATTGTTTTCATTTTTCTTTTTTCCTTTTTCGTCATATATATATTTAGTGCGTCAGATTAAAGGATATTCGTTATTGTTTTTTTCCACGCGTACAGTAGACACATTTTGTCGTACAGTTCCTAATTTATACTATTAAAATCAAGCAGAAATATAAAAATCCTTGATATATATCGACATATATAGGTGAGTGCAGGGACACCGCTTATAGATATTAGTTTTTTTCTGATGCTGATCTTTCTGTTTTGTGATTTTACTGCGATTTATCGTAAATAATGTTGAATGTACATGTAGCAAAGAAGAAAAACTGGTATACTTGAGGCCGCTTTATCACAAGACTGGTTGATATTCCAAGCAAGAAAAGAACACTGTATACATTGGGGTCTGAAATGATCTGAAGAAGCTATTTTCGATCGGAGATGACTTTGGAGAGATTAAAATCTTGGAAGCAGCGATGCGAAGGACGCACTCCTCTAAAAACACTGTAGACAATTTCTGTTTCTGAAAAACTGTCAAACGAGCAAAAGATAGAAAAAACTCTAATAGAAAAAAACTAATATCAGAGGTTTGCATTTCAGGAGACTTTGTCAGCGTCCAATTTGGCACTTAAGTGCACCATGTTTTACCGGGTTACTCTTCGGAACATGATGCATATAACAAGTACACGGATATTTCAGAACAGTATATCTAGTGGAAAGTGAAAAAGTCCTTTCGCCTTTTCTGTTGTTACAAAATTGAACTAAATGGCTTTTTTGAAGTATGGTTAAGTCAGAAGGTATTTTGGAAAATCAAATTAGAAAGTAAACGCTTCAAGGTTATTACCAACTGTTGATCTAACGGTATTCACCTATATTTTTCAATTCTGATTTGCCATGAGACTGGAATTAGATCTCAACATATACGTGAGATAGAATGATATCGTATTGCTCGTCTATGGGTTTTACCGTAAGGAAACGTTTGCTGTATGTGATGAAACATCACGCTTGTACTTACAGAGGATGTGTATCCGAGAAATACTAACGCTATGAACAGTTCGTTGCTACAGCCGAGAGCTAATCTAGCATCCTGTGAATGAGGTTCTCTGGAACTATGCCGCTATCCTCTATGTGTCAAACAGGACCGAACTGATCTTCGCTACATCCTGTAAGTCACCAACAACAAAGCGATATTACACCGAGGTATAGAGACGATAATCAACCATTTGATGCATTTCTCACGTTAGTGCATTTATTTTGAGATCTTTTAACACGGTCCACAGGCGAATCTCTTAGATTTTGCGCTTTCTTTCTGTGCAGCTTGATTTTTGCTGTTTCTTATCTTTATTTAGAACGGTTTGCCTCTCTAAGTCTTAGAATTGACCGCACTTATTTTAATTCTTTCTCTTTTTTCAAAAATATCTACCAATAGTCACCGGGTGACTACTGGTAGCCTTGAAAACGGATGGACTATAGGCAATCGATCATGCTGAGTCTTGTGGCAATATTTGTTTTTAAAAATAAGGTTTTAAAAAAAGAAAAGGTTTTAAAAATCTACCGAAAAGCCAGTTTTACGAAAAATAGGATTTTCAGGCTGTTTTCACCTAATATCAAAAAATTCATAACTAACTCAGAAAATATCAGAAGGAGTTCAAAATCTCAGGATATGATTAATTTTGTCTGCTCAACGTGATTATAAGATTAAAAAAATCCAAAAGCTTATTTTTGTTAATAGGTTTTTCAGAAATCGTTTTGGGAAATCTTAGGCATTTGTAAAATGTCTTTCAAGATCTCCTATAAATCGAATAGAATAACCTAAATACTCTACATTCTGAAGTTTTGAACTCGTTCTGATATTTTCTGAATTAGTTATGAATTTTTTAATATTAGGTGAAAACAGCCTGAAAACCCTATTTTTCGTAAAACTGGCTTTTCGGTAGATTGTTAAAACTTTTTCTAAAAACAAGTATTACCACGAGACTCAGAATGATCGATTGCCTATAGCCCATCCGTTTTCAAGGCTATCAATAGTCACCGGGTGTCAGTCCAGGGACTCGTAGGAAAGCCGATACAAGGCTCGAACCGCGGAAAATCAAGGTCTCGCTCGACTCTAATCTTGAAGAGAACACCCTGGGCTATCAGTTCTTGAAAAAGAATCAATACAATCCGATTGGAAAATTGGTAACCACGGCATAGTTTTCCAAAGATCTCCTAGAAAAGTCTTCTGACAACGTTTTGCTTATGGAAACATGTCCTCAAGTCTCCTCTTTCGAATGGTGAAAATCGGAGCTGTCTAGCTGCTTTCTAGCAAAAGTTATTCAAAAAATGGCCGAGCCCATTCTTTTTTTAATCGACAATAATTATGTTTTAGCACTATTTCGCAAATAGTCGAAACAAGAGTTCTCGACAGCGCTTCATCGTAGAGAATTTTTTTTTTTTGATTGAAAGAGCATATCCACCTCTAATGCCTGGCAGAACCCTGTTTTCAAATTAGGCGACCTGATGACAAAAGACTGAGCAGAAGACTGTTTGAACATGAATCGAATATTTTATAACCTTTCTAGTCCGCAGAATACATTTTCACTGTTAGAACGATTAACTTCAGTATAGTTTCTTGAACTAGTATTACTCACCCTCATGCCGTCATTTGATTCAGGATGTATTATTTGCCGTAGACACGTGTAGGAAACGGTAGATTAGCATTAAATTTCATAAATCTATACCCGCATTATTATTAAGATTAGTTAACGCTTATACTAATTCTCGTGATTCATCCCTATTGTGCACACGAAAACCTTAAG